GCACTTCAAGATTTAACTAGTGAGCAAAGGCTTCTTGTTGAATCTTTACGCTCATCATCATCTCAATTAATGAGATTACTTGATGATACATTAAATTTGGCAAAAATTGAGTCAGGTTCTATTGATATAGAGTTATCTGTTTTTAGTATCACGAAACTAATTGAGCCTATTTGTATTGCATCAGGATCTAGTGCGCGTTTACGGAAATTGAATTTCAATGTTATTATTGATAAATCATTTCCTTCACTTTTATATGGAGACCCTCAGCTTTTAATGCAAGTTGTAAATAATCTTGTTTCTAATGCATTGAAATTTACCACAAAAGGTTCAGTCACTTTATCTTTTCAATGGGTCGAAAGTGAAAATAAAGAATTATGTGTGGTTACTGTTAAAGATACTGGAATTGGAATTCCACCGGAAAGGCAACAAATTATTTTCGAAAGATTCCAGCAAGCTGATGCTAATGTTCAACGGTTTTATGGTGGTACTGGTCTTGGACTTGCTTTAGTTAGCGATATTTGTGGAGTTTTGGGTGGATCAATACGAATAAATAGTGAACCAGGTTCAGGTTCTGAATTTATTTGTGAAATTCCGATGGAATCAGCAATGGTAATTTATTCACCACCATTTTGTGATCAAAAATCACATGTTTTAATGGTTTCTATTGAAGATCAACTTTTATTGCATTCAATCCAAGAATGGATGACTCTTCATCGTTATACTGTTCAAATTTTTAGTGATCCTGAAGAAATAATCACTACTTCACGAAAGCCAAATACTAAAATTGATGCAATTTTAGTGGAAGGTTATAAAGAATATTGGACAAGAATTAAACACGTTGTTTCTCGATTTACTGAAAAAGAAGATATACCGATTGTTTGCTCAATCTGTGATGCTGGTGAACCGATTTCATTTAAATATAATCTTGCTAAGCCTTTAATTATGGAACATCTACTTAATTTTATGAATTCTGTTCGTTATGGAAAACTTGTTGATAAAAAAATTCATGAAGATCAGGAGAGTAAAAATATGTCACAGAAAAATATTCTCATTGTTGAAGATAATAAGGCTAATCAATTTGTGATGTCTAAAATCATGAAAAATCTTGGCTGTTCTTACCAAGTTGCTGAAAATGGTCAAGAAGCAATTGATAAGCTTGATAAAGATACCTTTGATCTTGTTTTTATGGATTGTCAAATGCCAGTTCTTGATGGTGTTGAATCTACAAAAATTATTCGAAGCTCAAAGAAAGTATATTCATCAATTCCAATTATTGCATTGACTGCAAGTGCAATCGAAGGAGATGAAAAGAAATGCCTTGATGCAGGAATGGATAATTATTTACCAAAGCCAGTTAGGATAAAGCAAATTACAGATGCCATTAATAGATATACATGAAATTGAAATATCATTGAAATGTTGTTTTTAATCTTTGTTACTAATTTCTCAATGTTAAATATGAATAAATTTGTATGTTAATCAAAAAATTGCTGTCTTGCTATTCTTTTGATGTTTTCGTCTTTCTAAAATTGTTTTTCCTTTAATTTTTGAGCCTTATAATGATTATATAGTGGAACAATTATTAATCTCTTCAGAGAAATCGAGATTTGCCTTTTTCGAACATTAATAATTATCAATCAAATATTTCTGAAGAACTCATAGTGAAAAGTTGTAATGTAAACTATATAAAACATTTTCTTTGTATATGTCCATTTATTCATTGAAAAAGATGACTAACATCATAGAATCATCAAGTGAATTTCCTTTTACTTCCTTTCCTGCTTCTTTATTTTCCGATTTTTTCTTATTCACAGACCTCTTGTACCCTCCCACATACGGAAGAAGGACCAGATGGAAGTTGTATCTGTTCTCCAGGCTATGTCACAGGTGATAATTTTAAATCGACGGGATGCTGGAAATGTTCGTCAGAATGCCACACATTCGCTCAATGTGTATTTCCAGGACAGTGCAAATGCAGGCCCGAATTCGCCGGAGACGGAGTCACATCATGTCGATCACCATTCCCGATTTTACAACGCGTTAATGAAAAACAGCTACTCAGTAACGGTGAATATTTAATCACGCTAGGCTACCAAGATACCCAGGAGGCAGCAATTCGAAAATATCAACCAAAGAATTTTTATTGCCAGGTTGGAACCCTAATTATTAAGGCCAAACAGTTCACCAAAACTGAAGTTCAATGCCAGATTCCCAAAACCATCAAAAGGGAAGTAAATATTTCGATTTCATATGATTCACACAATTGGTCGAATGAACAAATAAAAATGAATTTTGATACAACTGTCAACGTGAAGGAGATTATTGATTCAATTCCTTTTCTTTTGACACTTGTGGCAGCAATGTTTGTTGGAATTGTTGTTTTTTATGGAAAATCACTCTTTTTCACCATGCCAGAAAGTGACGAAGGAAATCTGAATGAAGCTGATGATGAGCAATAAGACTAAAATTTAACCCAATGGAAGCAACACAAAGCAAATAATTAATTAGTGTGTAAAGGGGGAGTGGAAAAAAATCATTCAAGAAGTTGTTTAAAACAACAAAATTACAATTTCTTGGTGATGATTTTTTTTCAGTCGATTCGACCATTTAAATACTGAAAATTTTGTCAAATAATTTCTCTTGAAATGCGGATTGAAATATGAGATAAATGATTTATCATTGAAGAGGGCAAAATCACGAATTGAATAAGGTGAAAAAATCGACAAGATATCTTGCTTAGGAAAAGAAATGATAAGATTCCGTGAAACTGCATTCTCACCAAAATATGGGGAATCTGACAATGATCGATGCAAACTTTTTCTGTGACACTAGTTGGGAACTTTTTCTAAAAAGTTGAATCTGACATTCAAATTATATGAGGTTATCAGAAAATTGAATGAATGTGCTATCGTATGCAGTGCAACCTTAAATATATGTATGTATCGAATGAAATGTAATTTTTTCTTTATTTCGATTATTTTATTGTTTTTATCTTTATTGGAATCACTTTTTCATATGAATTTAGAAATTATTCATTGATTTGTAGAAAATCGAACTGAAAAAAAGATCTATTTTGACTTTTTGAATGAATACGAAAATTTATACTGAATAATTCGATAGCACGTTTATTATTTTTATCGTAATTTTGTGGCACAATGGGATCAAATCCAAGTGTTGCACAAGCTGAATCCAGATTTCTTGATGTATTCCAAGAACTTAGTAACCAAAAAGAAGACGCCGTGGATTCTGTTATTATGAAATCAGCATTTTTACACGATTTATCATGCATTTCAAATATCGATATTCAAATGCTTTACAAACGTCAGCCGTCACTTGTAAAAGAATTAATTCTAAAATCATTGGACTTTATGGTGAACTCAACAGACGTCAAAATTGTCCAAGGATGCATTCATATTTTAGCTCGATTTCTTCCTGTTTTATCTTTATCAATTATCAATCCCAATGAGCTTGAGTGGCTTTTTGTTGGAGAGAAATCAGAGATCGTCAATTTATTTAATGAATTGAAATCTTTGCTTTTTGCACCAAACATTTTGAATGAAGAAGATGCAGAAAATCAATTTGTGTGGTATTGGGGCACTTCACTTCGGCATTCTTTTGAAACATCTCGAACAGATGCTCTTTCAATTCTGTTTTTTGGTCATGCTGGTTCATTTTTCTTTCCAAACTTCCCAGAAATTCAAGAGCAGAACCAAAAGCATGCATGTGTTGAATCAAACATCACTAAGTATTTAATTGAATCAATTGCTGAAGGAATTTGGTGGCATAATATTCACTTTATGACAACAGCATTACCTTATACATGCCTGGCGCTAGCTAATGACTCCAATTTTAGATCATCTCTGAAAGATTCACAGTTACTGAATCGTTTATCAGAAATTGTTTACGTTCCAGTTGATGATTTAAATGTAGTGATTCATTATACATATTCATTAAGCACAATTGAAGTTGATATTCTTTTGGCTTGTGAAATTTGTCTCTTGCTTGAACCAAAATGTAACTATGATGTTGTTAAAATGACAGTTGCTGCAATTCATTATCTTCAACTTGCTAATGAAACGAATAAAATTAATGCTAATCATAGAATTGCTCTCACTATTTTGTCAGTTGTAACATCAACAAAAGAAAATGGAAAACTGCTCGAAGAGTCAATTCTAGCAAATCTTGGCACAAAATTCGTTTTTCAAACATCATCAGTAGCTTTAGCATTATTAGAAGCTCTTACAAATACTGTTTTAATGAATGATTCAAACGGAATTTTACCTTTAGTTATTTCTTGTCTTCATAACATTTCACCATTTATTACAGATTCTGAAAAAGCATCAAGCTGTATTGTAACAATGATTGAAAATGCAATGAAAAATGATAAAAAGGCTCTTACTGATGCATTAGTGGTTGTTATTGAAAGATACGTGACTGGTGATGGTGATGGAAATGCTAAAAGAGAAACATTAAAGAAACTTGTAGGTGAACTAGCCGTATTTGAAGGAAAATCTGAAACAAAAGATCAATTTCTTGCTTCAATTGCAGAAACTCAGCTTAATCATGATTTTCCTCTCATAATTGATCAGATTGAATCACATATTACTTGGGCTAAATCAGTTGTAATTCAATTATTTTCAAAGCGAAATCGAATCACATTGGAAGGGATTCGAAAAAAATCCGATAAATAAATCATGTTGCGATTTTTTAGTTTGATTTCTGGAAATTCTATTCTATAATTTTTTGTACATCTTTGGCATGATTATTCTGGCCGTTATTACATTCATTCATAGACTGTAGTGATTCTATCATTCAAAATTTCAATTGTGAAAAGAAGAGCAAAAATTTATATAACGAAAATATTCGCCTCATTTGGATGAGGTTAAAAGTAGCATACAAAGTTACGTTTTGCGGAGGTGAAATTCTATCAATAAAAGAGTTGAATTTGATATATAATTAATCCTTTCTAGTTATAGCAATCTAAAATTAAAAAACTCAGTGACACGATGGCCGAGTGGTTAAGGCGTGGGATTAGAGTCCCCATGGGTTTATCCCGCATCAGTTCGAATCTGGTTCGTGTCGTTTTTTTTTTTTTTTTCCTTTTCTTTTTCCTTTCACTTCGATAGGGAATTCCTTTTCTAATTTTTATTTCCTTTCTGTTTCTTCTTCTCCAGAGAAATCATTACGAATCTATAAAAATTAAATGCAAAGGAAAAAAATCAAGATCATATCAAAATAGAACTGAGAAAATCGTTTACACTACAAAATTGTTTTTTGGCCGCTTGTGGATTCATACTTTTATAAATTTTCGAGAAGATTTCTATCATCAAAAGATCGCTTTAAGATGTTTCTCCCCTGAAGTAGTAACTCAAGAAGTAGTGCGAGCAAGTTCCCAAGAACAGACCAGTCAGCATGTAGCTGTCTGTCAAAGAGGCCAGCATGAAAATGATCGAAGTGATTCCAAAAATGATCCCAATTATGAATCCAAACGCGAATCTCATCCAAGAGGACCCCTCTGCATCCTCGTCGGTGTCCATCCACAGGGTGTCCCGCTCGTTTGCATCATTTTGATTTTCATTTCGGCGGTTGTGGTGATTTCCATTGTTGTTTCTATTGTTATTCGTATTGTTATTTGTGTTGTTTGTATTGTTATTGGCATTGCCGTGGCCGTTTCTGCGCGATCGGCGGCCTTCCAGTAATTCGGGCAATTGGAGGTCAACCAAAGCTGTTTCGTTGTTGAAGATGACTGGAATCCATTCCTCTTCGGCCTCGATTTGCTCCTCGCGCGGAGAATTCAGGGAGCCGTGCATTGTATGAAATGAGCGACGAAAATCTGCTATTTGGTCGGCTGTATAATTCATTCTTGTAAGGCGGTCGAATCCCCTGAGGTCTGACTCAAGAGGCTCCTGGGTCGTTGGCCGTTGAATCTGTCTGTAAAAAACGTGGATGGTAAATTCGTCAAGAGAGTCGATTTTTGATATAACTTCCGTCGGTTGGAGAATTCGGCCGTGGTAGATGAGAGCTATCGTCCTGTTTTCTGGCTTTTGAATTGTCTCGTCTTCAGTAATTTGCTTGATCAAATCAGAAACGGTGGTCATTTTGGTGATGGAATAATCGGCACGATTTCCTGTAGGGAAAAGGACGTGTAATTTGGGAGGTGAATTAGAATTTCTTGGAGCTTCTTCAATATCGTCCATATTCGTAAAATATGGAAATCGGAAAATCGAAATTGAATGATAGTTATTTATTTTTAACTTTTTCTGAAGGATTTAGTTGTACTTTTGTGTTTGAGTTGATATTTTTGATATGTTTTTTTCAATATTGATATCTAAAATTTCTATCAAACCGAACAGACAATAATTTTTTTCAATTCATATCTGATCAAAAAAAATAATCCATTATTTTTGAAAAGATTGGTGAATTTTAAGGCTAATTTTGTAAACGGCAACGATTGGTATTGAAGCATTTTTCTGTGATTATATGGTCTTTAAACAGAAATTTCAAGCAAATAATTGCCGATAAAGTACACTAGATTGGAATAAAATTCTAAGTATTGACAAAATGCCATATAGTTTTCATTCAATTGTTAATCATGTCAGACAAAGTATCGCCCGAGCAGAAAGCAGTCATCAATTCTTGGGAATCAGCAGCGCAAGTAAATTCAAAATGGTGCATCAATGAACCAAAAAACAATCTTCAATCGCTCGAAGCATTCGGAAATATCTATTCGCCAATCGATATCACGAATCCAATTCCGCCTTTGATAATCCAATTTCAACTGACTTGGAACCCCAAAGATGGGTTTATTTTGTCATTGCCCCAATACACGCATTTAATCAATAATCCTTCAAAATTTAGAAATAATGATTTATTGTTCTATGATGACCAAATTGGTCAAATATGCTTCAAAATCCCGGACAGCATTAAAAATGGAATTTCTGTTGAAGCCGTGATGGAATATGTCCTCAATTCTATGAACAAGCAAAATTTCAGGATTTGGAAATCTTTTTCAGATGAGCTTTTTAAAGAGAAAAGATAACTGTATTTACACATAATTTTATAAATCACTTATTTATTTTGTTTTTTAAAAAATCGAATTTTAGATTGAACTAAAGAAAGAAAAGAAAATAAAGAAAGAAAAGAAAAGAAAGAAAGAAAAGAAAATAAAGAAAGAAAAGAAAAGAAGATAAAGAAAAGAAAAGAAGATAAAGAAAAACAAAGAAGGATAAAGAAGAGTAAAGAAGATAAATAAAAGAAAAGAAAATTAGGGAGGAGAAAAAATATCAAAAAATAAAAAGCATTTCTATCTTTATATAAAAAGCAAAATATTCTCATTATATCTCATTATAATGTATGAATGTATGATATTGATATTCAAAAATCTATTTTAAATGATTTTCAAATCCATGACGTTTCAGAATCTAGCCAAAACGTTGATGAATCTTGACAAGGAAAGAACGCATTTAATTCATCCCATTGTGATTTTGAAAATGCATTCAAAAAAACATTCACTCCTCTTAAATCATTCTTTTCATTTTCACCAGTAATGGTGGATGATTCACTTTGCTCTTTTTTCTTTATTATTCGATATGAATCATCACTTGAAACCGATGGACTACTTATTTCTGTATCATCAGATTCGTCTGGGAAATTCATATTTCTCAATATTGTATTTCCATCAATATTCTGATAAATATGCAAATTTTGTATTACATTAGTATTAATATTCATATTATTGTTGTTATTGACTTCTTTGACATTTTCTTTAATATTGTCTGTATTTGGGAAGAAACTATTGTCCAGATGTTGTGTTTCACATTGTTCAGAGTTTGAGGTTGAATTTATATTTCTATCTTTTGAATTTCCATAAATGGATGGGTTTTTTAATTGGTGTCTTTTGTGCAAGTTCCATCGATTTCTTAATCCAATTCTTGAACGTCCAGGAAGAAATGTTGATAGAAGTGCCCATTTGTTACCATATTGTTCATGCAGCTTAATAAGTAATTCATCTTCTTGAGATGTCCAAGCTTCACGTCTTAATTCAGGTGACAGAATTCCTGCCCAACGTTCACGACATTGTTTAGCATTTCTTCCCGGCATCAGTTTTGATACTCTGTTCCAATTATCATTTCCAAATTTTGAAACCATCAGGCGCAATCGATTATCTTCTTCGTCATTCCACATTACTTTTCGATAATGAGGCTCTTTAGTATCTTTTTCTTCATTAGGAATATCTTTTTTCAAACTTTGTTTCATGGCTTTTATTTTTTGTGATGATGAAGTATTCCAATGATTTGAATCACCAAACATTATTCCATTACATCCTCGTGATCCAACTGTTGACTTTCCTTGAGGCTGGTTAAGTTTACTCATTGTAAAAGGTGAGATAAAAAATTGTGTATTTTAATTGCTGTGATAAAATGTAGACATCTATTCAAATAATTGAATGGATGAAACAACCAAAATAAAATATTCTCAATTTAAGTCCAAATATTTACACAATTAAATAATAAAGAGCTTATATGTTTTTTGAAAATAACAAGAGATTTTCGATGATCTTGGTTATTCTTTACTAAAAGAACGAAAAAAATATCTTTTCTCTAGACAATTATCATAGAATTTTTCCATCATACAGAAATATTCCAATGATTCATTGAATAATATAATTGAATATATCGAATGTTGTTATTTCTTTTATTGGTTTTAATCATATGATTATTTGGGATTTCTCGACATGAACCATATTGAATCAACACCTCTCATTTACTTTTTCACAAAAAGTTGCAATAGCAATCTTTTCTGAAAAACCTTGGAATTGTCATCTATTTCTTTTCTTGTAAGTTCAATATCTTTTAGGGAAATGTTTCACTGTTATCAATATTGACTATAATAAAGACATTGAAAATTATTGGTTTGTTCTTGAATATCATTCATAGTAGACAAAATAAAAGAGAAATAGTATTTATTTCTGATCATCACAAAAATTAAGTTAAAAACGATGCAATCACAAACCATTTTATATATTTCTCAAATTTTAGTAGTCATACAATTATTAAATAAATATTGTCTTATTATTAGAGGAAAACTTTTCCAGTTCTTTGCAAAATTGTTGGGACAAGATAATATGATAATTTTTTTATATTAATAAGCATAATCCTCTTTACTTCTTGGATTCATTTGTTGTGTAATATGCTTAGTTTCTCCAAGTATTACTTGCTTCATATGTACCAAATGCTTGAACAACATAAATTTAAGTTGAGGAAGTGAAGAAGATTTATTTATATGAATTAATCCATATATATTTGGCATTTTTCATTTTCTCATCGATGAGTATGTTCACCAAGAAAAAACTATTTTATACAAGAAAGTGCAAAAAGAATATTATTGTTCAATGCTCTTTTGAAGTTTTGAGGGAATTTGTGAAAACGATAAGGTGGAATTCGTAAACACTTTAAACAGATGATATTACTCTTTACCCTGAATGATACAAAAGAAAAAAGATTTTGGGTGGTCAAGAAATGATATTGAATTGGTTTGTTTATGTGTTAAGGCTTGCACATAATTTAGTCTGTAGCCTCTTACACGAAGGTCAAATCCACTTTATGAATTGCACATACTCCCTTGCAATATTTGAGCACCCTTTAAGAGACTGATGGCTTGAAAAAACTTTGCGATAAGCAGAATCAACATGCCATTCAACACAAAAAAATTATTATTCAAATTGCCATGTAAAAATGTCATCTTTTTATTTATTTTATTTAAAAAGTCAAAACTGAGTTTATACGAAGAATGACATTATCAAACTATTAGAAACACAGATTTTCAATTGTTCTTTAAGTTTGTGAACATACATTTTGGCAACAATATGAAAACATATGTTAAATATTGATAAAATTTATAGAAAGTGTCAAATTGGTCTGATCATGTTGAATATTGTGAAAACACTTTGTTTCGACCAAAGTTGACTTTACTTAATTTCTCTGAGAGAAAGGAGTAGTTCAAAAATTCTCCAACAAATGGGCAATTTGTGAGATAATTTAAAAAGTTGAAATTAAATTTTTCTGTATTAATATGGTCATTCT